TATATATGTACGATTACTATATTAAATAAATTAAAATATATAATTTTAAAAGAATTGGAAATTAATAAAATTTAAAAAAATTAATTTTTAATTTGCTGAAAGAATTAGATTGTTATATGATCTAGAAGTGAATACTGTTGATAAACTTACTCCAAGACTTGTGGTTTCTATTGCAGTTATTATTCCTGTACAACCATAAGCCAATTCTTCCGTAATCAAGCATGAATCAAAAATATTAGCTTCCATACCACCTAGAATAAATTATAATTATCAATCTTATTCTATATTATTATAATAGTTTATAGTAAAATATGTATACATAATATAATATAAATTCTGATAAATTAAGCATACCACAATGTTGTGGAATATGTTTATTCAGAAGACCAATACTCCACGCCTTTTTAATAATGTCCCATGGATATTTTCCAGTTCGATCGTACTCTGCAGCTACTGGAATAATTTCTTCTTTTGTAAACTTCCGCGCTAACTCTTGCATTTCCTTTTGAGTATCTGATAATTCTAAAACAATTCAATGAGATAGTAATAACCATATTTTAAAATCAGGTAATATATGTAATATGTAAAGATATGCAAAAAATTGTAGTGTAAAAAATTATATATAAAAAATTTCAGTTTTCTCTTGAAATGTTTAAATTTTTTGTCTTACTCAAGAAGTACTTTGAACAATCTTGTTTATAAAAGTAAATAATGTGAAACGGTAACCAGATAATAATGTTGTGCTTTCCTATTTCTTGATACATTTAATTCAAGCTTATCTAGTCTTAGACATATTACTTATATGTATCACGTTATGTAAATAAGAATATTTCTGCATATACAGAGTGTTAGTTAAGTATGTTGCCATACTCAAGATATACATACAGAGCGATTCTTTGGTTCATTTCGAGTAAAAAAAGTCCATAAATATGTGTCCTAAAGGTTTAGTTTCCGAAATACAGGTGAATGCTCGCAAATGTTTGACGAAACGATAAATTGCGTTGGAGATATCTTCCTGCATAAATATGCCTTGCTTCACATGAGTTACCATTCGCACAACCGTAAACAAAGTGACAAAGTCAAAATCAAAGTCACAAAATCAAAAATAGACTTCAGTTCTGATGTTACTGCAGGTCAGTTAGCTTGTACATACGTTTTCGAGCCAAATTGTTTCAGTCCATTAAAATCGATTTCATCATGCCTAAGTTTACAAATTTTGAAATGGCAGATATGCACTTTGCTTACGGTCTTAAAAATGGTAACTCACGTGAGGCAAGGCGTATTTATGCAGAAAGATATCACCAACGCAATTTATCATGTCGTAAAACATTTGCGAATATTCACCGCTATCTTTGAGAAAAGAGTTCTTACATAAGGAATACTATTGATCTTGAAAAGTCTATGACAGTTAGAACACCAGTACTAGAGGAAGCTATTCTTAATGAAATCGAAGTACATCCAGAAACGAGCACAAGGAAAATAGCTAGGACATTAAATGTGAGCAATTATGTCATCTGGAGAATTTTGAAAAACCAACAATTATATCCTTATCACATTCAACGTGTACAGAGACTTTTACCATGCGATTTTCTATAAAGACTAGCTTTTTGTCAATGGATTCTTATTTCGGAAACTAAGCCGTTTAGGATGTTTATATGGACTTTTTTACTTGAAATAAACCAAAGAATCGCTCTGTTGAGTTTGGCAATATACTTAACTCTATATACATATAACTAACACTCTAACACTCTATATACATATTCTATAACAGCACAAGTTGTATTCTGGATAAAGTGTGTTATTAGGGATACATATACACACACACACACATATATATATATATATATATATATATATATATATATATATATATATATATATATATATATATATATATATATATATATATATATATATATATATATATATATATATATATATATATATATATACACTCATATATACATACACATATACATATATAAACATATAAATCGTTTTTGTTTTTTTAATATTCTACTGTTATATTCTGGTTATTCATCTAACCATGTCTAATATAAATCTTCATATACTCTATATTTTGTAAGACATAAATATACCAACCAAAATTATATCCTTGTGTGGATTCAGCAGTTGTTGAGAAGGATCGTACAACATTTTGGTACAATCTTAGATTAAATACCTGAAAAAAA